ATCCTCTTTATGGTCATTGAGGAAAGATTGATTGATGGGTTTCATTGCTATCGTAGTATAACTGGATAGCTATCCGACCTGTGTAAAAATGTAGCCTGTGCAGAACACTTAAGGTATGACAAAGCAGAGACTGCAACCTTTTTTCAAAGAAGTCAAGCAGCTCTATACCTAATCATCTTGAGAGGAAAAAATTGTGTCTCTCTGGTGCTGGAATTAAAATGTGCAATCCTAACAGGACAAATACACAGTTGGAACAAATGGGGGTGGGAGGTCTGTGTTGCGACAGTGTGTGAAACTGAATAAAAGGCAGTGTCTTAAGCTGAATCTTAGAAAAACAAAGCTTAGCTACAGTATTTCTTTCATGGATCCCCCCAATCTAACCCTATATGTCTTTTAAGACCCAGAAGGAAAAACAATTACAAAATAGAAAATAATCAAAAAGGATACAAAGAAAACAACAATTTTTTTAGAGGATATGATTAAAAACGAAACATCTTCTGTCTAGTATATTGATTTGACCTACAGGTCTTCTAATCCTTGTAAACACAGCTTCTGTAGTGATGCTATTAAATATCTAAAATGAGGGATTATATGGAAAAGCTAAACTATAAACCTATTAGAACCAAAAAATAACTTGACAATTTTTATCAATGCAATAAGACCAATGTTACTTATTATTGATTACAAGGGGTAAAGAATGGCCAAACCTTTGCTTAATATATATATATATATATATATATATATATATATATATATATATATATATATATATAGATAGATAGATAGATAGATAGATAGATAGATAGATAGATAGATAGATAGATAGATAGATAGATAGATAGATAGATAGATAGATAGAGGGATAGATGGATATAGGAATTAGTTTTGGAGAAAGCTATGTGTTGGTTTGGGAATGAGCATGCAGAGTAGGTACTGTAAGTGGGACTGGGGAAACATGTTTACAAAAGTAGACATATTCACATTACTATTATTTCTGCAGGTTGATTGACGTTATAGGAAAATATCCCACATCTAAACGCATTCCTACAGAATGAAAAACAAAGACTGAGTTAGAGTGAATGTCTGGAGGAGAAAAAAAAAGAAATTGATGAAAGAGAAGGCTTACTTTTATTCTATATCCCTCGCAGTCTGGACCAATGAAACTTTTTTATTATCCTAACTGAAATATTGATATCTCAAAGCAGCAGTATATTTTTCTTGACTGTTCCTGTATTTCTTTTCAAGATGATTCACAATGGTGAGAAAAGGCAAAAACAGACAGACAAAAGAACGGGGGAAGAAAATTGATGAGGGAAGCAATATCAGGGTAAAGGCATGCGTTATTGTGCAGTTTTACGACAAATACTAAATGAAAATCCCTGCAAGGGTATTAGAAGTCTGTATTTAATTAAGCCCTTATAAAATATTAACTGGGAGGACAGGGCCATTTCCCTCCTCTCGTGGTTTCCTCAGTGGATTGAACCATAGTTACACTGAAAAGAGCTTTAAATTATGATTACAGATAGAAGGTGAGCAGTAGTGAGAGAAGAGCATGTCCATAGTGCCCAGTAAAGCGCCAAAGGGGACGTTAGGATGAGGGACTGATGCTTCTTATATCACACTCACTGGAATGTCTTTAAATCACATGGGGAGGAGTGATTAGTTTGATTTATAAAGGGTCGAGTGGGTTCACTTTTAAGCTCAAGTACCTCTGTTTCTTCTCCTTTTACAGTCTTTGAAATGACTTGTATTCCCTAATTTGAGAGTCACTTCCTGTCAGGAGTGCATTGTACAGAAGATTTGTAAATTATTATTAGAATAGTCGTCTTTAGGTAAAGTGAAGACAGTTGGAAAAAATGGTAAACTGACCTGAGAAGGCATTTGCATTCAGAGGAAGAGCTAAAAGAACCAATAAAAAACATTGTATTCCAGTTGATGACCATTTTTCATTCTTTTGAAAAAGATCTGGTGTTTGCAATGGTCATAAGCTAAAAAAATATATACATACAGTGGGGCAAAAAAGTATTTAGTCAGCCACCAATAGTGCAAGTTCTCCCACTCAAAAAGATGAGAGAGGCCGGTAATTTTCATCATAGATATACCTCAACTATGAGAGACAAAATGAGGAAAAAAAATCCAGAAAATCACATTGTCTGATTTCTAAAGAATTTATTTGCAAAATATGGTGGAAAATAAGTATTTGGTCAGTTACAAACAAGCAAGATTTCTGGCTCTCACAGACATGTAACTTCTTCTGTAAGAGGCTCCTCTGTCCTCCACTCGTTACCTTCATTAATGGCACCTGTTTGAACCTGTTATCAGTATAAAAGACACCTGTCCACAACCTCAAACAGTCACACTCTAAACTCCACCATGGCCAAAACTAGAGAGCTGTCAAAGGACACCCGAAACAAAATTATAGACCTGCACCAGGCTGGGAAGTCTGAATCTGCAATAGGTAAACAGCTTGGTGTGAAGAAATCAACTGTGGGATCAATTATTAGAAAATGGAAAACATACAAGACCATTGATAATCTTCCTCGATCTGGGGCTCCACGCAAGATCTCACCTCTGGGGTCAAAATGATCACAAGAACGGTGAGTAAAAATCCCAGAAGCACACGGGGGGACCTAGTGAATGACCTGCAGAGAGCTGGGACCAAAGTAACAAAGGTTACCATCAGTAACACACTACGCTGCCAGGGACTCAAATCCTGCAGTGCCAGACGTGTCCCCCTGCTTAAGCCAGTACATGTCAAGGCCCGTCTCAAGTTTGCTAGAGAGCATTTGGATGATCCAGACGATGACTGGGAGAATATCATATGGTCAGATGAAACCAAAATAGAACTTTTTGGCAAAAACTCTACTTGTCGTGTTTGGAGGAGAGAGAATGCTGAGTTGCCTGTTGTCCTGTTGTTGGCTCCAATGAAGCGCTGTCCACTGTGTATGGCATAACGTTGCAAAATGGAGTGATAGCCTTCTTCTTCCTCAGCCTGTCCATTTGCACTCTGCATACATGGCGAGTTAAAAGATTAAACATGTCACACAAATTTGTTAAATTTATAAGGTAGAATATTGGATATCAGTATTTTTTGTTCATTTGTAATCCTGTTTCACCTGACCTTTCCCCCTTGTTTTTAAATTAGCGGGGTATGAATCCAAGGATTTGACCATAGAAAATTATAAATCTATACAGAAAACACATTTATAAAACATTCAAGAGGACAAATTGATTTTTCTCTTATTAAATCATAGAATTTTACTTGGCATGATGACAGGTAAGCCGCCCCTGACCACATGTCATGGAAGTACACCAACCCTTCATGTATCAGTGAAATCTCCAGTGAAAACTGGGGAGTGTCGTTTAATAATAATGCTAATCATAACAGTAATACTTAGACTTAGACAGATTTATTTTTTCATTTTGTATATGCGAGTGTATACCAAAAGAAATTTAGTTTAAAACAGCTCTAGACAATTTCATTCTTTGAAGTGCAGCCCTGAAAACAGTAATAAATACATAAAAAATTTGTAATATAAACATACGACTGTATATTTACAGTTCTAACATTATTTTCATTTCTTTTTTTACATACATTTTACTATTTTACAATTAAAAAATTATAAAAAATAAATAAATAAATAAATAAGAATAAAAAACATCTTGCAATAGATTTTTCTTTTTTTGCATTTGCACATAATTTTGCATGTATAAAAATTGTTTAACATTACTTTTCTCTACAGAGGTAAAGGAGGTTGAGATTTATGGTGCACACAGCATCTTAGATCAAAGTGCAATTGATTGTCATATAGAAGTCTTAAATCACACAGTTGAAAGGTATACAGTATTAGATTTTCATAGATTAAAACTGGCTCTTGACAGGGCTTGTGTTACTAAAATATACTACATTTCAAATGTAAATGTCATTCCTGTTGATTGCCTTACAATTTAAGGTTTAGCAATATTGGCTAGAGATAGTCAGGCTCATCTCTACCCACAGCCTTGGTACTGTAACCCAGGATAGCAGGAGAGGCTGGACTCTAGTCTAGAGTGTCACGCAGCAATAGGCAGAGGGCCGATGTGGGTCAAGTCCCAGTAGAGTGCTGCAGCTCAAGTATGTTGGGGTTCTGGTAATGGGTGAGGGGAGAATGGAGCAGGAGATCAATAGGCGGATAGGTGAGGCTGTTGCCATATCCTGATGCTGCACAAGTCTTTTGGGGTGAAGAGTGAGCTGAGCCAAAAGGCAATAGTCTCGATTTACTGGTTGGTTTATATTCCTACCTTAGCCAATGGTCATGAACTCACTAGCATACTAAAAAAAATGAGATACAAGCAACAAGATACAGATTTTTCTGCTGGGTGAACAGCGATTACCTCAAAGATAGGGTGAGGAGCTCAGCTATCCAGGAGAGGATCAGAGTAAGGCTGCTACTGCACACTGAGATGAGTTAGCTGAGGTGAGTTGGACATGTTTGGATGCCTCCTTGTGAGGTGTTCTGTACATATCTCATTGGCCCAGGACAAGATGATGGGACTCTGAGTTTGAGGAGCTCTCTGTGAAAGGAAAGTCTCGGAGCCTTTGCTAAAGCTGCTGTCCCTGCAACCTGGTCCAGGACAAGCTTAGGGCTACTAGTATGATCGCAAGTCTGAAAATAGGATGAAACATGAAGTTTTCAGAAAATAGGCTAAGCATAAATTAATTAATAATAATTCTTAAATAAGATAAAAGTGAAGTACCAAGAAAAATAATCACGTCCACAATGCTGTTACACTGGTGTAGTATGGTTTGTTTGCACATATTAGATTGAAATAGGAAATGATAAAGGCAAACCTGTAAACTTGCACATGAAAATCTAGACCGATCTACATCATTTAATCTGCTGTTGTATTTTTATGCTGTGCTTTTTATACTACACCTTAAAATCTCATGTTTTACCCTGAAGGCTTTCTCCTGTTACAAGCTTTAATTTGCATCGCAATACATTTGTATCCATTTACAGATTCATACAGACTCAGATGAAGGCGAGGGCAATATCAAGTACACCATCTCAGGAGAGGGAGCAGGCTCCATCTTCATCATTGATGAGTTTACAGGAGACATACATGCCACTGAGAAACTCGACCGAGAAGAAAAGGCTTTTTACACACTTCGAGCTCAAGCCAGAGATCATCGCACAAATGACCCACTGGAACCAGAGTCTGAGTTTGTCATCAAGGTCCAGGACATCAATGACAGTGAGCCCCAGTTCTTGGAAGGCCCCTACATTGGCAGTGTGGCAGAACTGTCACCAATAGGTAAGCTACTAATCTTGTAGTGTACTTATTCAAGTACTCTCTGAGTGAGATATTTTAGGCTTTGAACTTAGAACTGTTTGAAGCCGTCGTCTATGACTTGTAGAGATGTTGGTTATGTAACATATAGTTAAACTGCTTTAGAGATATATAAATGGCATACTATAATGCTTTTTTCCTTTGATCAAAGAAAGCCAAAAACTGTATTTACATTAGTTTTGATGACACATTTTTTCCACAGCATCAATGAACATCAAAAGACGTGACATGTTAAAGAGTCAATTGGAATTTAAGTAAACTGTGCAAAGTCATATGGAGCTTAGCCCTTTAGCAGGTATGGAACAAAAAACAAATAGTGTGGGAGCACTGGTATTAAAAGGAAGGATAGTAAAAAAAACTTACCTGATAAGGTTTCGGGTGTATTTTCTAAAAAAAATATGTTTTATTTGGGAAAAAAAATATGATGAGCAAGCAGTGTGATGGGAGTAAACAAATCGTAGGAGAGTTGCATGGAGAAAGGCAGATGAGAATGACTTTAAACCCTATTCTAGTAAAGCTTTTGAGAATGACACTACAATACTGCTAATCTTTACAAACATGCTTTTATTGTTAGTAACCATATTAATGGAACCCCAGGGCTGCCTAAAATTCTCAGCGGAATGGAAAAGAAAGGTGAAAGAAGGGCTTCATTAGCATGGTATTAATGTCAAGAACAGCTAATGTTTAATAAACATTGCTGCCAAGTAATATCACAATACTTTGTGTGCTCAGTGTGTTGTGCTGGATGGTGTGTGTGTGTTTATATTCAGTAGAGGTGCTGTAAACGGGGGGCTCTTTTTGGTTTGAATGACGACGGAAGCGCTGCAAAATGGAATGAGTCTTACCCTATTCAAGCCTGATTGGAATTAATTCCTGCTTCCTCAGCATGATAGAAACCATGGGCATTTTTTGCATACAGTGCTCTCCAAAACTGAATGGGGTGGAGGAGTGAGTATGTGTGTTATCATGACTGAGGGAGGGAAAGGCAACAAGAGAGGACAATGAAGAAATGAAGAATTTTTCAGAACACTATATGAGCTCCCTTAAGCAGACAACAAGTCTGTCATAAAAGAGAAACATTAAGTTATTGCAGCTCTGTTAAAATAATTGAAGTCAAAGCAATTTTAATCATCATGACCCCAACTTTTCTGCAACCCTTTCTTTCACCCTGTCCTTGTTTATACGCTTACATAGGTGTGTGGTTCATGTTTTAAACATTGTTGTGCCCTATTCTCTCCAATGAGGCAACATTAGCTTCCTAATCAACAATTGTTCTGCTCTACCCATCTTTCCTTTGTTTTTTTTACTGCTAGTGCTGCTGCAAAACATTAGACAAAGCCAGCATTTGACATGTCTCTGGTATACTTACAGTTAAAACTAAAGCACACAAGAATAAAATACTAGTTTTCTATCTTACCTTTGGAGAAGGAACCCATTGTGGAAGACCAAAGGTTTGAAAATGGTGATTCAACTATGGATGGAGGTAACTCTCCATCTCTGCAGTGCTGGAAAGGATTCTTTATTATCAATGTTTTAATTTAGAAGTTGGTATTGCATTTTTTCCTAGTTGTGAACCAAGAATATTTTAGCTCTCTTAGATCCTTTTGCAGTTGCTCTGACATGTGGTTTTAGGAGAAATTCTTATCACTGTACTCTGTAATATTTACTAAGGGGTTCTATGGAGGCATAAGGTAACAAGGTTGACTTTGAAGTGCCATATGGTACCTGAGAAACAGAGCTAAGACCTGTGTCTTTTATTTGGAACAAAGTCTAGATAATTGCTGTTGCAAAATGGACTTGACTAGGTCTTTGCCTTGTCTAAAAATCTGTTGATCTTAAAAGGTTGTTACCCAGAGTTTCTGACTCAAAAGTACGGTTTAGTTACTGTACCTGTCATCAGTCATGAAGGGATATTAAAGAAACACATTATCAGTTTTAATCAACTTTAAATATATTTTTTTTAAATGTTAAGGAGAAAAATGCTAAACAATTACTTGAGTATTGAGTATTGTTTTGTTAGGGTTTATTAATACACTTACTTTACCGAGAGCACTGACACAATATCCTTGTAAATAATTCCAGCTCATCAGTTTTCTTTTCTTTTGTTTTTTTGTGTCTTTTTTTTGTTGTTTTCTTTTTGTGTTGCCAGATTATTTTTGAATTAGCATAATATAGCATGATCTATATTACTGATTTTGTTCTTTTCCTGCATGAACCGAGGATATGCTCAATGCCCTGTTGGAATCAGCAGTTTTTTGTAATGTAATTTTGAACACGGCTCCTGTGAAGTGAAGCAGGGTCGCATTTTATGCTGTGATTTGAAACAGGTTGCAAGCATTAGCCACACCGGGGATTTGCACACTGTGCTGTTTTACGGCCAACTGTATAGGCAAATTGTCTTGAAACACACAGGGCTATAATAGTAGGAAAGTAATCAGCAGTCTGCTGCCTGAGGCAGTTTCATCTTTACTTATCACTCCTGTCATGTCTCCCTGTGCCATTCTTTGTCATGGCGTCAAAAGCTTCAATTCTGCCTTTTTCTTTTTTTTGTTGAACAGATTTCTGTCTCTCTGACTATATGCTACATCAGCATTTTTTGATAAATATAAATTTTTTTTTGCACTGTTTTTCTTTTTTTTTCTGAAGGTTATGAAGATTGAGTAAATAATGTATATGAAACATGTCATAGAGATTTTTGGCATGGCAACAAAATGCTTTGAAATTTAAATGTATTTTGCAAGTCAGATTTGCCTTGCATGGTTCATTACCTAATGTGAAAAGCATACATCTGATTAACTGAAGAAAAAAGAAAATATGGTTGTGCTCCTCATGAGCTAGCTTGGTCCTACAGAACATTAATTTTAAAAGGCCTTACAGATTTTACATCTGATGTATGATTTCCATATACTCCTGTGATTGCTTCCTTTGTTTATTATATCACCAAAAAAAATATAATAAAATAAAATGATAATCCAAATGATACCGTCACTGATAAGAAATTCTCCAGTTTAAATCTTAATAGTTCTAACTACAGACTGTTATTTACCCTTTGCTACTGTATCACTTTTAGCCCAACTAATGACGTGCAGGGGCTAGGCACGCTCATTTCTTCAGTGAGATAGAGGCATTATTAATGGTTTTCTTGTCATATAAAACTAGATTTAAAAAAACAATAAAACCAAAGAATGTCAATATGTTCTTTTAATATAAAACATACAATGAAAATATGAGAAACAAAAGTTTTGTTTTCTTTATTTTGTTTTGTAAGATAATAACGGATAACGGATCCGATACCTATATCTGGTAATCTGTGGGTGAAAAGCAAGGTACACCATGGACATGTTGACAGTCTGTCATAGGGCAATAAATGCAATGAATTACTGACCATAATCAAGTTTCAGCTACCAATTCCTCAGTGGAACTTAGTAATCGCTACCTGAATAAAGAACCAAGGATAGATAGGTTCGGGAGATCTGGCTTTCACATGCATATTGTGCTATTAAGTGTTTAGATGGTTACCTGACCGGTAGTTCTCATGCATAACTCTAAATGTGCTTAAAACATGCAGGTTAAGAAAACAAAAAAATCAATCTAAAAGTACTGATAAATTATAGTCACATTGATGTGTACAACAGAATCAAATTCTTCATCTGGCTTTTCTTATTCTCCTTTTGATCAGCAGTCAATTTATCTGATCTTTCCTTGCATGGGATAGAGACAGACACACAAAGGCAAGCAGACTCAATTGCTTTTACTGAGATAAAAGTAATGCTGTCTTTTTGATAAGTGACTAGAAACAGCAGCACATTTATTCAGTTTCAGTTGTAACACATTGCCACAGTTTTTGTCCCTAAAACAGCAATGATTTTAACTATAAAACAAATTGAAGGTGTTTCCAATCAAATATGCTATCAATATCTAAACCTGATCTAGCTTCAGATCCAACACTTTTTATGTTCCACTATTTGATATGCAAACGAACACTATCAAAATGCATCAAATTCTAAGAGGAAATCTATTGATTGGTAAAGTATTACATTAATGGTAGCTCAGTAACATCCTTTTAATTCCCTGTTTCTTCTGTTTTTTTTTTTTTTACTTGAGAATATTAAACTTTAACATAAAAGTAAAGTGCAACCAAAATCTTTTCAGGTATAACCAAATTTTGATTCAGTTTGATTTAGTTTTTCAACAGTAAATACTGCAAATAGAATATTAACTTAAAATGATATATAGGCAACTGACATGGCTTCAGGTTGATTGAGCAGTGGTTGAAGTGTTTAAGAAACAGCATAGCAGTACTAACCAAATACTTGTAAATCACTAGATTGATTTTCTTCCAAAAACAATCTGTCCGTGTAATGTTGCTTCAGGGAATATGGATCTTAGGGCCTCAAGTTTAAGAAGAATCTTAAAAATAAATTTGAATTTGTCCTTTAGCTTTATTTTGATGCTTAGATGCTAATACAGTGTAATTTAAACGTAATGGATTGTTAAATTAAGGTCTAAAATTTATACATGTGCTGACATAAAGAAAAGTTAAACCCAAAGAGCAAAGTAAACTGTGGATGTATGCTGTGGATATTTTTAATCATACAAGTTGAATTAAGCACTGAAAAGAATGAGCCTGTACATGCTGGCACATTCAGTGCACAGAAACATTACTGGCAGTGGTAACCTAAAGCAAAAGCTTATATGCCGCTCACGGCCAGCTAGTATTGAAGTAATAAAGACAGGCCTTTTCCAATTTTAATTCACCATTACACCCTTTTACAACATGCATACTAAGACATCTATCTATCTATCAAGATTTTTACTTTATGTTATGTGAGCTGACTGATAAAGTAGGAAATAGTTTGTTGAATATGAAACAATTTACTGTAGTGTCTGACACTGACGTTTCCTCTTCATTAAAAAGTTGGATAAGAATGTGGGCGAGCTTTTTGGTTTAAAAAGATTCCAGT